GCTAATGTTTTGGTACTTTTAGCTAATGTTTTGGTACTTTTAGCCTGTGTTTAGCTTCAGCTCAGCTTCTGTCTCATGCTTCAGAAGCTGGAGTTTCTTCTGTAGTTTTGCAGAAAAATTAATTTAAAAAAAAGGYAAAAGTGTTTGTTTTTTAAATAAAGTTTTATTTTGAAGGAGCAGCCTGAGGCTCAGATTAATGTTTGTGTTTCTGGAGTTGTTTTTTCTCCACTGCATCTTTAAACAGATGATTTATTGAATTTATAAAACCTTTTCCTCAGACTTCTTCAGTAAAACTAAAGAATAAAATCATTTATTTTGTGTTTTCTGGACGTGTTGTTGACAGATTAGTGGTGTTTTATTGTGAAAGGAMGTGCTTTAATAAAAACACAAAGAAGCTTTAGTTTCTGGACAGAAACTCTTGTCTTTAATGAGAGTGAAATTTAAATCCAACTCATTGTTCTGCTGCTCTTTCTGCACAAACACCAGGTGACGTCAGGGTTCTGCTGGGGCCCGGCCGGACCCGGGGCCCGGGCACCTGCTGGGAGCTGAACTCTGGTTCTGTTCGTTTTACAGAAACACTAAAAACACACAGAACCACTTCAGAACCCCTCAGATCTGCTCCGGGTCACCGGACACCCCTGAAACCTGAACCCGACACTTAGAGACTCCTCGAGTCCTTCAGAACCACAGACTTCAACCCGCGTGGACCCGGGTCCAACAAAACTGCTCTGAAACTGACGAGGACATCTTTACCAGAACCAGAACAGAACTTTCTCAGATCCATCACTGGTTCTGGACGGGTCCAAACCTTTTTAGAGGAGCAGGAGAAGTCAGAACCCTGAGGCTTATTTTTCAGTCTGCAGGATGTTCTGCCTGTCTTCTCTTATTGTTTAAACTAAAACTTCAAAAAACTTCTAACAGAACCAGAACCACCTGGGTCAGAACCAGATCTGGACCTGAAGGACCAACAACCTTTAAAAAAATAAAAATTTTATTTAAGTTTGATAATTAACTTTTCTTTTCCCGCCATCTCTTTCTGACACGCGCAGAAGCTCACAGGTACAGACAGGTGCTCAGATTCTCACCTGTGCACGCGCACGCACAATAAGATTATCAAATAAAAACAGCAGGTTCGGTTCGGCTCGGTTCGGTTGGACTCACAGGAAAGACGTGAAGACGCTCAGGTCGTTCGGAACCTCCCGGAGCCCCAGGTCCGAGCAGTCCGTCCGGTGCCGCAGCCCGTCCTCCTCACAGCGGCACCGGTCCGGACAGGTGGTCCGACCCGGTCCGGAGCTCCGGTTCCCGGCCGCGGCTCCCCGCAGCTCTCCCGGAGCTCCGGAGCTCCTCAGTCCGACCGAGAGCACCGCAAACACGGCCAGCACAGCCCGGGAGCCCCGCATGGTTCTGCCCGGACGGGTTCGGGTCCGGCTCAGACTGAAGGAGGAGGTCTGGATCTGGATCTGGATCTGGATCTGGGTCTGGATCTGGATCTGGATCTGGGTCTGGATCAGGATCTGGATCTGGATCAGGTTGTCTGGAGTTCAGCAGAAGTTGAAGTGAGGAGTTTGGTTCCAGGATCCACGCGTGGAGCTGCGGTGTGTGTGTGTGTGTGTTTGTGTGTGTGTGTGTGTGTGTGTGTG